ATTGAATGAATTCTAATTCGTGCGAAATAGGGCACAAGCCTGTATGCATTTTACGCGTACAAGGGAGTGATTTCGAGTGTCCTTTTTGCGCCTATGCCTTAACATTGGCCCTGCCTTTCGATTTGAATACGTTGATTTTGGGAAAGACACTTTGAAATTGACGCGCAGGTTATGCTAGTCTTCAGATTTACCTGAAGGGTCTATGCCTCCTGTTAAAAACATACTCTTACCTTCCCTACCTCTGACTCAGAAAATCCAACCGAATCATCTATGAATTGCCAAATGATGCTTCCATTCAACAGCAGCCACCTAAATAGCATACCTTTCTCTATTCTGTACATGTTCAAAGTAATGCTGGTTTTGACGACGCCTCTTCTCTGCTTTCCAGACGCTATGTCCGCCATGAGGTTCTGGAAAAAGAAAGCTGTTTGGCCGTTTATGTACGCCCACCGAGACCAGGCGCTTATATACTGAATATCGCCGTCAATCGCACACAGAACGAAGGTGCTGCTGACTCAGAAACCGCGGATAATCAATATGAAGATGTGTGCGAATACTGTCTGATAGCGAAGATTTCACGCACAGCCTGTCTTCTGCCCTTCCCGCATGAGGCCTCTGGTGTATACGGCCAGACAAAGGTACACGTCCTTCTTCCTTTCTTAGTTAGGTTTGGAATCTGACCCCGACGTGTCGCCGTAGCGCTCTTGTAGAACGTAGTGTGTGTTTACTTAATGAATGAAAATGTTCGCGTTCCAGGCATCTGTATGGATAAGGAAGAAGACGTGTCGAGCACCGGATCAATTCATTTATTGTCGTGAGATTTGGAATTCTTACAGGAGTCCATTTTTAGAGATGAGAAGAAGCAACCTTGATTGACCTATGGCTACTATTATACCCCACTTTTTAATTGCTACTTCTCATCTCTGAAGGTGGACTTCTGTACGAGTTGGAAAGCTCAGGACAATAAATCAAGCGACCCGGTGCCCGACACGTCTTCCTCCTTATCCATGTGTGTTAACTTATATTGTTCGTTTGCACTCGAGAAGGCCAGGTCAGTGCTTGCACGATTGCCACTGCTATTGGGCGTCTATAAGTTCCTTAAAGAGGCGCGGTTTCACTGTACTCATTTAATTCGGTTAGACAAGTAAACATGTGTCATTTCCGTTCAGTGAATTTGTTTTGCTCTGATTATTTCATTCAATACGGTAAGCAAACATAGTTCAGTTCAGTCTGGTGGTAGTGGCCTAGCCGGATTACAACAAAAAATAAAAATATGGCAAAGCATGGGAGTTGTTGAAAATATTTAAAATATTTTAGGACATTTTACCGGTCAGACAGAGACTCCTGGAAGGTCTTTTCTGGCTTATTTGCCGTCACCAGCAGGGGACAATTTACTCCACTGTAGCAACGAAAATCACCACCACTCTCGAGTTTCGAACCCGCCTCTGACCGGAGAGACGTGGGTTCGAAACTCGAGGATTGCGGCAGTTTCCGCTATTAAACTGGAGTAGTGTTTCCTGCTAATGAAGGCAAATAAGCAAGAATAGGCCTCTCAGGAGTCTCTGTCTTACCGGTAAAATGTCCTAAAATAACAAATATTTTGCTGAAACACAGTAACATTACAAATAGTCATGTGGCAGGGTTCCTGGGTGCAAGAACCACAAAAGGACATCAAAAACCAGGGCATGTAAGCCCTGTTACTTATTGGTGTACGCCTATCTACTGATATTTAAAAGTCTCAACGAAAATGCTATAAAGGTTAAATCTACCGCACGATGTGGAACCTGAGGTTAAGCTTACCGTCTTGGAGTTAGATTACTATAGTCCACGGCGAAGAGCGCTACACACACCTTCAATTTACATATTGAACCACTTACTTCGAGCAGCCGCGGGAAACAAATTAAACTATATTTTTCCATTTCGCACTTACTTTTGCAAATTAACTTCACTGCCTATCCTATTTTCTCATCCCCAAACCGCTATAGCCACCGTTTTCAAAGGACAAATTGCTCGGAATAGGGGTATACGATGTACACTATATAAACTGCTTTTACCCAAAATTAATTATCATGCGCAATCATCTTAGGGTTTGTGTTATGCTCAGTGTTAGGATAAGGATTAGAAAATAGAAGCCTTTTTACAAATGCATTGCAACATCGCGTGCCATCAGAGGGGGCGGGGCGTCTCTTTTCTTTGTCTTCGGGGGTGGGGCATATAACCTATTCCCGATTTGTTTTTTTATGCTTACAGCTGCATTTCTTCCCCGGATTTGTCAAAAACATTTGTCCCTCTGCCTTATGCAGCACATTCAAAACGCATATTTCAAGGTTACCTGCAAAGGCACTAACCTTGATATCGTCACGTCATTCATTTCTGCATAAGGTATATGTGACGATCAATGACACAGCCCTATTTTGTTTTATGGTGAAAAATTGATATAAAATGAGTTACCGCACATTGTTTTCAATTTCGTTGTCATCGGCAACGACATATTATAAGAAGATATATCAGTATCTTTAAGCACTTATCTCATTTCAGAAACATCCCTTACCAATTATTTTAATGAAGATTCAAAGCAAATATTCATCAGCGTTATTGGTAGTATATAGCCCCGTTTTCCGTCTAGCATTTCTTCTACGCTACCTTGGTGCACTTAACTATAATAAAGAAGGAATGATGGATAAAATATGCAAATCTTCCTTATTCTGGCTGCTCAGGCCTCTGCAAATTCATAATTTTGTGTTTCGCTTGCAGAAAGCAAAGCTCTTTAATGTCCGCGCTGTCCGTCGGGAGCCTACTGTTCGAGAAATTCAGGGAAACGTGGAACTACGCTTCGCCAGCATAGATTCAAAACGGCCTCTGCCCCGACTGATGGGTGAAGTCAAGTCTGCCGCTTTGTCAGAAGAGGCCATGAAACACTGCATCGTACAACGCCCCCTCTCGAATAGCACAGACTTCGTCTTCTCAATTTTCCTGCCCGACGCTGGTGATTACAGTCTAGAAGTATACGCGAACGACCCTCAACGCGATGGTAGTACATTCAAACAAGTGAGTTCTGCCTAAAATGGTTCGGTGGATGACAGGGGGCTGCCTCCAACCGCCTACTTTCCCTATTTCTCCGCAAAATGCATACTTTTTACGAAAGCGTAACCGCATGTAATCGATAATTGTACTTACCATCTACAATCGAACGTTTACTTCTCATACCCTGTGTTGTTTTGCCTGCGTGTTATAGCGCGTTTCACCTTTTACCAAAATGCCTTGAAGGGGTTTCGTCCAGTGAATCAAGTCCTTTTTTCCAAAAAGTTAGATTTAAATGCGTGCGCTCTCACGGAATGACTGGCAGTAAACCAATACTCAAATACCTCTGGTACAGGTAACTGTCGGCCAAAGACGGGTTTTCGTTTCTAAGGATTACTTTTAAGCATTACTTTTTATATATATTTTTATTATATACAGTAGTCGCCAGAGGCCATGCAATTTTCATAACTTTGTATAAGATTGA